GATCGGAATCTCTCCCGCCAGGCGGGGAAGATACCCCGCCACCTTTTTTTTTTTTTTTTTTTTTTGTCCTGACATTTGTTGCATTGCCGACACCGGTGCGGACTGTCCAGGTCCGGTGATTTCCGAGTGTCTGTGGTGTCCGGATCACCGGACAGTCCCCACCGGTCCAGATACTAGTCCGGAAGACAGTTCGAGAGTGTCCGGTGTCCGGGTCCAGGGTTACCATGATGCTAGTGTTGTTCTTTCTTTATTTTACACTTTGTTGCTCCTCTTTCTCTCTCTCTCTCTGTTTCTTTCTCTTTCTCTCTATATGTCTCTGTTTGCTCCCCTTTTCTCCTTATTTTTTTTTTTGAATTTTCAATCTGTCATTTTTTTTAATTCATCAATTGTGCTCCGACTTCGCAGTTGGTTTGAGGATCGAAACCCTTAAGCAACATTGGCCGCAGGGGGAGGCCGATGTTCCACTGTGCGCCAGAATCGGGTTGAAGTTTTGATGCGGGCCGGCGGATGAAGGCGATCGAGGGAGGGGGGGCGTGCAAAGCGGTGCGCATGCCGAATTGTTCACGGCGCGCCAGAAGACGAGAGAGCGCGCCCACGGGGCCCAACGACAGCGGGCGTCGATGAGAGGGAATATCTCGAAGCGCCGGCCGTCGGATAGCAAGAAAGTGTTCCTTTTGTGGCCCGACCCCTTTTTTTAATTTTGTTTTCGGTCGTTTTTTTCTTTTTTTTACCCTTCTTCTCCTCCTCTTCTTTCTTATTTTCATCTCTGTTTTTGGCGGCTTCTTTTTTGTTTTTGACGTTTTTGCGCGCGGACCCGCATTCACACACACACACATACACGCACGCACGCACGCACGCGCCCACCCACCCACCCACACCCACACCCACACACACACTATCCCTCGTTTGTTGTCCTCTTCTCTCTCTCTGCCTACGGTTTACCGGGCAGTTCTATTTGTGACGATATATATATATTAGTATTAATATTTGACGCTTGCTCATAGTGGTTGTGGTCGGGTCGGGGTTTGAACCCAAGTACAAATTTTGAAATACCCAATTGCCCGATGAGATAACCGCTCAGGTGGACTGGGTCCCCGTCTTCTTTTGGGGACTGCTTTCTTTTGAAGTGTATCCGATGTTAGGCTGCTGACACGTCAGGATGTGTCTGTGTGTCCGAACCCTAACGTTGCACAGTGTGGCAGGCGGGTCCTGTCCTGCAATTTTCAAGCGCCAACTTTGGCGATTTTTCGTGCTCAAAGTAATTAATCAAAAGATCTGAAATTTTCAGATCATGTAGATTAGTTTCCGATCTTTCTAGAAAAAATACTGAAAAAAAAAAAAACCGCGAAATAAACGTCACGCCGATTCGTTAGGTTTTCGTTTTTTTTTTTTTTTTTAACAAGTGCTCCAGTCTATTCGTGGGGAGCAGCACGTGCTGGGAACCGGGCCCAGCGTCCCATATCGAATTGTACAGATCATTGAGAACATTTGAGATTGTTTGAGATCATTTGAGATACCGGGGCCATTAAACCACCAGTACTTGGGCCATACATCGGCCACGGGCCTTCCCGTTAACGCGCCACAGCCTTAGGGGGTCGACCAAGGGAAGGTCCGGTCGTTGCTGAATGGTCGAACCCCGATTCATTCGGCATGACACAAATGAAAAACAACAAAGAAAAAAAAAACAAAAATCAAATACACAAAAATAAAAAAAAAAAA